TGGAACTAATTTGGGAAAACCTAGTAATTATAAAATACAGGCAAAATAGGAGTTCTTTATATATTTATTATAAAGCTCGGTCCTAAATTCATTACTTATACTCAATTCGGAGAATATATATATATTATTAAGTTTGTTATTATAAGAGATATTACAAGACTCGAATATAGTAAGATAAGATAAGATATCGGGAATAATATTTAGTTTATCCGGAATATAGCAGATATTAAGTCAATATTATAATAAGTACTATAAAGTAATAATAAATTTCATATTTGCCTTACTTATATTATTTATTACTAATAATATTTGGTTATAAATACCTCTAGTAATAATATAATTAATTAATATAATAACTGGATCCTAGACTAATTAAAGTATTATATATAGTCTATAGTAGGTATATAGTAAATATACTATCTTGAGCTTAGTAGATTTATAGTTCTTTTCTGCTATACTCAGAAGCTTACTAAGAAATAGTATCGGTTATATGGCTATAGATATAATCTTACCAAGATTCGAGGAAATAATATAATTCTACTTGAGATAAAATACAAGAATACCAAAATCTTTCTTGTTTAAAGTATTAATTTTGAGATATAGCTATCTTACTAGGTTATAGTAAATAAGTACCTTAGGATCTAATAAATAGCTTTTAATAGACTCGAATAAAGCGACTTCCTTTTTACTAGGTTCCTACTTGGTTCTTACTATATATCCTTTTCTCTTTACCCCGGTTGCTTCCTATTTACGGCCGACTACAAGTAACTCTGTCTTTTTCTTTTATAATGGTTCGATTATCTTTATATAGTATAAAATAAATTAGTAAAGCCAACCGGCTATTCTAATAAAGTACTCTAGCTACTAAAGGTTCTCCGGAAATTATATGGCTTTTATAGCAGTTATATATTCCTCTATTATACTCATTCCGAAGCCATTAATATAATAGCTAAATAGCTCTACTAATAGATATTCTAGAAATGTCTTTTTTCCAGAGAGTGAGATATATTTCTCCTTAAATAAGTAAAGAATAGTATAAAAATACTAAAGGTATTCCTAAAGTAACTTGGAAAATATAATAATATTATTAATAAAATAATAATAGAAATAACTATAGCTCTTTAAAAGGCAATCTATAAAATATTAAATATATACTAGAGAACTATAGTAACTTATAAGAGCTACTTTGGAAGTCTCTTATTCTCGGTAGGAGATTATAGTAAAACGCTTTTAATATTCTTCCTTAATAAGGAATTAATAGAAGAATAATAATATATTTATAATAGAGATATACTTGGCTCCCTTAAGTATATTAATAATATCCTGTTATAATAATATAGGATAGTTATTAGGGATTTTAAGGCTATTAAGGACTCTCAGATTAATAACTAGATATCCTTTGGGTTTCTTATTAATATTCTTCTAGATAATAAATATAGGCTAACTAAAAGAAATAGTATCTTATAGGAAATATATCTTGTTTTATATATAAAGACTATTAAATACCTTATTAATAACCTATTAATTATAAACTCTAACCGGATAGATTTTATACTTGATTTTCTTATCCTACTAGCCCTTAATAAGAGAAATCTCTATATACTCGTCCTCTGGTATATTAATCGGGTTCCTGCTATCCTCCTAGTACTATTTGAATTTGATAATAAGACTCTCGATTTGGCTTATAAGGATTGGGTTCTTAGTATAAATATATATCTTATTACCGAGAATTCTCTTATAAACCTCGGAGGGCTTTATAATTCCTGTAATCTTTATAGATCTCAGAGAAGCAAGTACTTCCCTATTAAGTTTCTTATTGAGTTTATTAGGTATAACTATATAATAACTCTCTTTTTTAAAGTCTCGAATTATACCAAGTCTTATATAATATGGGATTATCTATAATTTATTTATAGTATTTATATAGGTAATATAGTTACCGTAATCTATTAATATATTATATATACCTATAAAACAGGTATCTAGTATATAGTTATATCCGGATAATAGTATACTACAAATTATATTAATACGAACCGTATTTCCGGGAGAAATAATAGTTTACTATTTGGTAAGGACCTTATAAGTAACTCGGGTATCTCGGGTATATACCTTAATAGGAGCTATAAGACTATTAATTATACTAAAGGTAATAGTATAACCTAATATATTAATTAATACTTTATACGGGACGAGGAAGCCGTTTCCTAAGAGAAGTAAGGGGTTGAGGTTATCCGTAACCTATATATTAATTATAACCTTACCGAGAACCGAGTAATTATTAATTTTTCTATAAATATATAAATTAAAGATAGCCTAGTCCCGGAGCTATTAGACTAAAGTAACTCTTTTAATAACTCTTTCTTTTATTATATTAATTCTTATAAATGGGTTTTTAATAGTTATTTATAATTTACTAATAGTTATAAATAGCTAGTATCTATATAAATCTGGAATACTTTATTCTCTAGTATAATCTTAATATCTAAGGTAGTATATTTATATCTAGTAATACTAGTAGGTAACGGAATCTCGGTAGGAGTTACTATAATAACCTCGGTATTTATAAGACCGGGCTAAGTAGATTTAATAATACTACTCGTAATAGAAATTCTCTCTACTTTTACTAAATATAAGTTAGAGTATATATACTTAAAGAGTTTATTTCGAGACTTGAATAGGGACTTATACTTTTTATAGACGGTTATAGGCTTAATTATAGAGATTATGGGAATTGCTATATATATATTATTTTCCGGCTTACTAATAGGGTCTAACTTCTTAGAGAAAATGTAGCTATATTCTTGGAGCTTATTATTATATTAGATACTGTATTCTTTAGAGATATTAAGGTAATTATTATTAACTATATTACTACTATTGAATTAACGGAAGTAATAGTAATACTAATTTCTATTAGAGTTATCCTTCGAGAATAATATACTAAAGTGAATATACTTCTCTATATCTTCCTTATTCTTTATAAATCCTGCGGTTAGCTATAAATATAGACGGTAATACGGAAGAGTCTTCTAATTATTCTTTTATAATATATTAGTAGAGTTCTGGAAGCTACCTAATAGCTATAGCTATTGAGATTAAGGATTGAGATTTGAGAAGGAGTAGAACAGGTAAAAGTTTATATTTGGATAGAAGGATTAAACTAGTTAATAATTCCATTTATAATTATAATTTCGATCCCGGTAAGAGAGATATATATTACCTACCGGGCGGCGGTCTATCCTTATTAATTCTCGTAATCTGTTATTCTTTATATAATAGATTTCGGACTACGAGTCTTATTTTAATACTACTATATCTATAAACTACCTGAGTATAGTATTTTTAGTAGATCTCTCGATATATACTCTGAGTTCCGGATCTAAGTTATTCTAGGCTTATAATAGCTACTGGATTAGCTTATTGAACTTGGCGGCTTGGTATATTATATAATAGATACTATATAGGAATATATATTCTTGCCGGTTCTTATATTATCCTTGGTATATACTTCCGATTATAATTTTCTCAAGGTAGTTAATAGAAGATCCTTGAAATATTAAATTAATATCTTTATCTATTATTTAATACCGTCTTGAGAGAACTTGAGTCTGGCTCGGTATAAATCGTCTAGCTTACTAATATACTACTCAAGTACCGCTTCCCGAAAACAAGTAATAAGATTTTAATATATAACTATAGCTCGTTCGCCGGTTATATTATCTTATACTATGTCTATAAAAAGGTATATGTTTCTCTAGTAGATATTGTTTCCGACGGTAATATAATCTCCCTCTCCTTCTGACTCGGCGAGGTCTGGGTCGAAATATCCGATATTAGCGGCTCTCTACCGGGTATCCGTAAGGTCTATATAGTCTTAAGGGGGAATAGGTAGTAGAGTAGCATTTCCTCCTTCGTTTCCGTATTACTATCCGAGTACGGCAGTAACTATATTAGCGATTATGGCCGCTATATCTTCTCTGGAGAGTGGTTCGCCCATGGCTTATAAAGAACCTCGGCGTATATCCTCGGTTTCATTGGTTTGCGGAGAATCTCGGTATATATCCTCTATCTCGTCTAATCCTTGCGAATTCTCCCTTCGTTTACTGGTACTTATATTCGCAGTATATATAGCGAGTAGTAAAGTATGGTCCGCGCCTTCCTAATTCCCAGGGATATTATATAAAGAAGTCGAAGGAGTCGAGAACTCGGGGATCTTGCGTATCTGTACCGAGAATTCGTATAAGGTCTTTCTGAAGAATGATTTGTCGATTGCCCAATTACTGGGAAAGGGGCTTGGTTCTATAGAGTATCGGCTACTTGATACGGAGGAGGTTGAGGCTTCACGTCGAGGGTAATGTACTGTAATCCCCTCAATTGCTCTGCAATCGGTTGTACCAATCTCCTTGGATGAAGTGTGATTTGATACGAGAAAGGAGCGGAATTGATAAGCTTTCTCGATGAGTTCGCTGGGCAACTTGTCCATCGGTGGTTGATAGTAATGTGTGTACTAGCGAGTGTCGTACGACCGAGTATAAATTGTACTCAGTTCGCGGCGTATAACGTCCGGACCAAAAATGGAGGCCTGGAATGGTATCGTAAAGCTTGAATGAAGCCTATGACGATGGTGCACCTGGCATTGCTACTATTTGTGGGAATTATTGGTGTGTTCAAAGATGATTCTATTGATTCTATGGATTCTATGGGGATTCTAGTTCTAGTGACTATGATTATGTCATCATGCACCTCCCATCGGCCCAATATTAAACCCCTTAATTTATTTTACTTTACAAAATCTGTTTTAAAGAACTTATTTAAAGCGTTATTAGTTAATGTTTTGATTTATTATTTATTTTATAACTTACTTCTTTACCTTGTATTTGTGAGACACGAACAGCTGAATCTTAAAAGAATGAGTTAAATGCAGTTCTTAAAGAACAAAAATTGTTTGCTTTGTCGAACCACGGTATAGTGCCTTGGCGAAGCCGAGGCTAGAATATGCTGGCTTAAGTAATCTTACAAGAGTTGCTGTTTAGGGGATGTGGTATGCGAGACTAGATTCCTTCAGTACTTTGATCATAATTGCATCGTCTCTTTTGTGAAGTATTAGCTGAGGCCTTCTCATCCCGAAGTTACCAGCTGATACTGAATGGTCGTAAGTACGAAAGAATTTCAAGAGCTGTATAAGTCGAAAGATTCTCCACTCTTCCCAATATTCTCTCCCGTCAAAATCTTCGAATTACCCTTTCAACCTCGCCCTCATTCCTTCAAAGCCTTATAAACCCACTTCGCACAGATCTCCCTCAGGAATGGCACCTTCTTTGACCAATCTAAGTCATTAATAAACCCCACAACGACCACTTGGTTTGTCGGATCAATCCAAAACCAAGTCCCAAACAAGCCACCCCAAAAGTAGCTCCCCACCTTCTGACTACTCATCCTCTGCACTTGATTTTGCACGATCGCCACCCCGAGACCAAATCCTAAATTCTCAATCACATAAGCACCAGTCTTCAGGTGCACGCCAGGCTCAAGCACGCTCGTGCGCATCAGCTCGATAGTGCTGGGTTTCAAGTACTGCTTCCCCTCGAATTCCCCGCCGTTAAGCAGCATCTGCGAGAAACGGAAGTAGTCGTCGAGCGTAGAGAGAATCGCCATGCCGCCGCCGATAAACTTAGGTCTAGTGGTGTTGTACGTTCCTTCAAGGGGAACAGACACCAGCTGGCCAGTCCCGTCATCCTTGTGGTTGCTTACCAGGCGCTCTAGCTTGGAAGCTGGGAGCACGAAGCCGGTATCGGCCATCCCCAGGGGTGTAAAGAGACGCTGCGCGAGGAAGTCATCGAGTAGCTGGCCAGTGAGCTTCTCGATGATGTACCCCTGGACGTCAACGCTGGGCCCGTAGCGCCATGCTTTGCCGGGTTGAAAAGCCAGTGGCAGCGTAATTAGGATATTAATCATGTCTTGCAGATCGCCTTTCCTCATTTGATTGGCGTCATACTCTCCGCGACCTACAAAGCCCGCTGTGTGGCTCATGAGCTGCTTCATATTCATTGGCGTATCTTGATCTACCAGTTCAACCTCCCCTCCCTCCTTCTCGACTTTGACTTTGAGGTTGGAGACTTCTGGGACGAATTTGGAGACCGGGTCTTCGAGCGCCCAGAGGCCTTCTTCCCACAGCATCATCATGGCGGCAGCCATGATCGGTTTCAGCATGGATGCGATGCGATAGATGCTGGTGGTCTTGGCGGGGACGGGGACGGCTGCTGAGATGTCGTGCACGCCGTAGGCGTCACGATGAACGATCTCGCCGTGGCGGGCGATGAGAGTCGTGACATTAGCCAGCTTGCCGTCGTCTACCAGCTTGTGGAATTGTGTATCCAATTCTGCAAGGCCATCTTTGGTGAAGCCTTGCAGTGAACCGTCGTTTCTCTCCAAAGGATCATTGGTCGACATGTTGATTGAAGTCTTTGAGGTCCTCTTCAGAAGCAGCGTAATGAAATTAAAATGAAGGCATGAGCGAGTCTTTGCGTTTGTATTGAGAGGGGTTGCGGTTGAATTAAAGCCCAGGCTCAGTCAGGGGCAGTCGGCTAAAAATAAGACGGGGCATCGAAATCCCGCTTGTTGGAAGCGTGACTACACAAGAAAGAAAGCAGTGTTGCAATGTTTTGGAGGTTGACGACTTGATTTCTCAGCTCACGCGAGGTAAGCACTCTATATATACATCTAGTATATAAACTACCCTGTACCAGCGTACACCTAGTTCCAACAAGCAGATTCACTTCCATCGTCTCCTATGACTCCCCACCGAAGTGGCTTGCCTGTGCTTATGCACTTCTGCACAACAAGCGGAAATCGACAAAAAAGCTGAATAGTATCGAGTTCTGACGTCATTTTCCTCTACTCATGTTCATTTGGCAATTCTATATTGCAAAAGGTGTCTGAATTAGATGTTCAACAAACTGTGAAATAAAAAACTGATATTACAATTAATTTCATCGAACACATGAACTCATTCATTATTATTATACAATACTCTGCTTCGTGCTCGCTCATCGGGAGATTATCTTTAGACCAATTCATATACCATCTCTTTCACCTCCTCACCCTGCAATTTCTTCACCGGACCCCTCGGGACACGACTAAAACCCACGACACGTATACCTAGCCCCCCTCTCTCCCCCTCGGCATCTCCCGGCCTCCTAGTCACAGGCGGAAGCGGACTCAACGGACTAGTATCCCCCACACTTCTGTATTCCAGGTCCCCAAACCTCTCCCCATCTCCTAATTCTTTCCTTTCCTCAATATTTCCATTGCCATTCTCAACCCCAATATCTCTCCGCGCAAACTGATATTGAGATTGCATGTGAGAGGTTCATCACCCCGCACAGTAGATCCCAGTTGGACGTTTTCATGATTCCATCATGTAGGATGGATTCAAAAGGCGTGTGCGCCTGCCAACCTCCTGTATAGCTTGCGTAGTATTGCCAAATCAGGGTTTTCCGCCGAAAGTAGTAATTTTATATGACTTAAGATCAACTCTATTTTATATATATATACTAGTACCATTCTAGGGCTACTTTAGAAGGGTGCTTATATAAAGAGATAATTAATTGAGCCCTTTTAAGTTCCCACAATAATAAGAGGGGGGTTTTATAGTTTAACTTATAAGCTAAGGCCTTCCTTTTCGATTACGTTTTAGCCCTCGGTACCTACACGTAAAATAGGTAAGACACGTCCCTCCCTTACCCTCATGATCGCTTAAGAAGTACATCCTCATTTTTTTTAACATCTACGTGATATAGAGCTAGGAGTAGGAGTCGCGCGAGTTGGCCTACTCGTATATATGAGTATAGCTCCTTATAAGATAGAGCTAGGCATAAGAGTCGGGCGCTAAAGGCGCGCGACTTAGCCTACTAGTGCACGTGAATCCAGCTCCCGGTAAGCAAGCGGCCCAGTATTGGTAGAGACAAACTCAAGAGCTCTCTGTTTAAGCACACTGTCTAGTTACGCCTATATCATGTATCTATTCCGGATGAAGTACCGTGGCGTTCACAATGTTGCCGCAGAAATGGGAGGGCCAGTAGCGCGCGGGGTTGCGGGCGGCCTGTTCCTGCTGACTTGGATGTAAGTCGGAGTCTCGCACTTGTAGATAGCTCTCAGACAGATATATCTCAGCTTGGCTACCGGCTCTGGATTCATCGCGTTAGCGCAGGGATCGAAGATCCTCGCGAACGAGAAAACTTACACCATCGTCTGGGCAAGGGTTGCTGCACTCTGCACTGCATTGGTTGCAAGCATCCGGACACTAAGCAAATTGGCTATATTGACTTGGGTCGGCTTCGATTCAATCCTCACCGCTGTTTCCATTGTTGTATGAGTGATATTTCGCGCCTCACCAATCTCTTCCATACCCTGTGGATACTCATGAATGGTCTTAAAGGGTGCGGGGGTTACGCAGGTCGACAGGCCAGCCGCTGCTCCGCAAACGGGCCTGTATGGTCTTAGAGTCATCTCCGTCGGGAGCCCAGGATTCATCGCTGGTCTGACTGCCGCCACCAATCTCTTCGGTATTCTCCCTATCAATCCTGGATGTGATGTGAAACTTACCGTCTGGATGTAGCTGGTTACGACTCCAGTCCTACATTTATGCCAGTCATCGCGGAGATAAAAGAGACCAGAGGATTTCCTAAAAGCTTTATGCTCCTCACAGGGAGCGTTGACAGCCTACTATGTTGCTTTTAGCCTATCTATGTATATATGAGCACTTGGAACCATCGAATATCTGGAGCAATCGCTAATTGACTATTAGATATTGCGGTCAGTATTTGGCCAGTCCGTCTAGCAAGTGCCGGGGGTGTTTTTGAGAAAATCGCCTACGGCATATCCAATCCGGGCTTCATCGTCACCTATGCTTTGTGGATTCACCCGGTTGCTAAATGCTCCAGCACGAGCTTGTGTGTCCGTCTTTGACTGTTCTCCGCGCCTCAAATTATATTCTCGCCATTCTATCAACAGAAAATCTTGTCTTGACAAAGAGTCAACGTATTTAGTCGAGCGAAAGCACGGTGGTGTGGCGCGGTATTTTTGACAACACTCTTCTCACCTTGAATGCCCAAACTCTGCACATCAATCAAAAACCTTGAGGTCGTAGGTTGGAGAGATCTCGAAGAATTCTCCATTTCATGTCTCTCGGTAGCCATAGCAAATGCTGCACTTGCGATCTCAAGTTTTAAATTTGGTAATGGACAGCCTTGAATTTGATCCTTGGTGTATCATGGGAAAATCATGAATGATTGGTCTTGGGACGAGGCAGAAGTCGTGCTGAACCGCGTGGACAAAGTCTCAGCCTCAGCTTCCTTTAATTCGCCAGAAGCAACAGAGGATGAGGTTCGCCTTACCCTGCTTCTGAATATCCTGGTTCTCATTTGGGCATGTTCGCTCGGTTTGTCACACTTGAAGCGATACTGATCCTCGCTAGCTTCTGGCATTTGAAGTAGCGGTCTTGTCCTTTAAACAAGATAATTAGAGCCGGAATGGGCTTTGGAACAAGGTGACACTCCAGGAATAACGAATAGGGAAGATGAAATGATGGAAAGCGGCTGGTTTCATAAATCAAGGTTTAAAATTAAAGTTGTCAGTGGTTTACGGCTTTCCGGGTCTGGCACGTAATTCAAAATAGGGGTTGCCTCGCTTAGCATTGCCCCTAATTGTCAAAGACCGTCTTGACCTTACCAAAGTCCAGTCCACCCTTAGACTTGGATCATGGCACAGCAGTCAATAACCCATCTGAAGAACCCAAGGGGGGGTGATCTATAAGGGTAAGAGTGAACGTGTAAGCTATCAATGTGTTATCAAAAGAAAGTAGTCTGGCTGCATACCGAATGGCAGCAGGGCCGCGAGGGGCCAGTTGAAGATGCCGTCAATCTCCCGATGTTGCATTAAAAGAACGTGCCACGCATAGAACTCTACAGTAATGAAGACTTGCAGCAGGTACCAACAACAATTCGATGCGGTGATGTAGAATACTCACGAGCAAAAATCGATGAGAATAACAGAGTTCACGACAGCTTGCTGTTAGCTGGAAACCTGCAACCAAGGGCTCATTTCTCCCCAATTTCATTCTGGAAAGGACACCCCTGAGATTTCACCACATATTCTCAAGAACTCCGCCTGGGTCTTCTCATCATTCGCCGCCTTATGCAGACTCTTTTGATGCTGCGCAACAAAGTAGTTCCCACTCCCCGTCTCTTCCCTCTCATGGGTAGCCACCCAAGTCGGTAACTCAGTCGCCTTCTTCATCGATCCGGAGGCATAAGCCCCACCCATCTTCGTGCTGACCCAGCCTGGCGAAACGGCGTTGCTTGCAACTTCAGGCCAGTGTCTCGCTACTGCGAATGAAAGCAGTACATCGAAGAGTCTGAAGGGAAATGTCAATTAAGAGAATGTGACCGAGAGGGAAGGGAAGCTTACTTCGAATCGCTATAAGCCTGAAGCCCATTCCACCGCCTCCCACTCGTCCACGTAACATCCTTTAAACTCGCATCACCACCACTATGCAGCCCGGAACTCAAATAAACCAACTTCTTCGGTCGCTCCATCAAACAGGTCAAAATATAAGGAGCTAAAGCATTGACAGCAAAAACGTGCGCAATCCCATCCCCCGTCACCTTCTTGCTTTCGCCATACCCAATCCCCGCATTATGAATCACTGTATCGAAGACCCCGGTCTTGTTCGCGTCATGAGCTAGCTTCTTGGTTTGCGAGATGCTGGATAAGTCGGCGATGAGGACGCCTTCGGCGCCGTGGACTGAAGCCATAGCCTCTTTGGCGCGCGCAGAGTTGCGGGCGTGAAGGGTGACCTGGTGCCCTTGGGCGATGAGGCTACGGGCTACGGTTTGGCCAATGCCATCTGAGGAGCCGGTGATGAATATGCGAGCCATTGCGAGGTGATTCGTGTTGGCTGGGGCGTGGTCAGTTGAAGTGAGGCGAAGTGTGAAGCTTGAAGTTGATGGTAAAGAATGGAGGAGATGGGGTATATGTAATTAACGAAGGCTGCTGAGAGAAAGATGAGATAATGAGAAGATATGGAAAGTGATTGAAATGTATGGTGGCAAACTCGATGAGCACTGTTCGGAGTTAAGGGGGTTAAATCCGACTACGTTTGTGCTGCAGAACAGGAAATAATTATTCATCTCCAATGATACTTCCGAGCTGCAGGATTGCCATTCCGAAGTATTGGAAGCTTGCTCCGCAGAAGATGGCAGCGGAGGCAACAGCGCGAACTTCCGGTTGTTGAGTTTGATGTTCGGGGCTATCATCTACTTCCGTGATCATGCAGGAAAAGGGCGTAGACGTTCTCATACTCCAGAGCCTTGGGTAGTTGGAATGAAGTTGTTGGACCACTTCAGAAGGAACGATGTACTTTTCGATTCAGCGCAGGGACACGCATGTGTCGCGCCTTTCCCCCAGCCACCACTCCACCTCAAAGATGTCTCGACGATCACGATGTCCCATTCCATGACCGCAAATATTTTTCTCCATCCACATAGCCCTATTTCGGCATATCTTATGGGCGTCGACGCTGAAGACATTGATCAAGTGTTGAAATCGCATCTTTAGACCCCTGACCATTAATCATCTGGGACGACCCCGGTACAATCACCTACATGGCATTGCCCAACGTTGTCACATCTCCTGTTGGTACAATAAAAGAGTCTCATATCTGGAACCTCGCACTAACGTCTGGCAGTCACGCCTGCACGAAAGTGTGCTCCGAGATAGCCAGCGAGACGGGCCTCAGCTCATGGACACCCCCCCGTACGACTTCTTGCTCCAAAGCGACCCTGTTCTACGAGGCCATCCGGCACAATGGAGCTGGGACACACTTTGGGTCATCGGGATAGCTGTCGTTCGGTATGTAAAGGTCGGCGGGGTGGTGGTGCGGAACTCCCGTGGTCCTGTTGTCGAGATACTTGTTGGGAAGCGTGGATACGCTACCATCGAATCTGGCGACGACGTGTTCCGTGGTCCCGGAGATGGTTACAATCCAGAAGGCTACTGGGCCATTCCCACGGCCTTTGTTGAGCCGACAGACGCGAACGCTATTGGTACATTGGCAAGGGTGCTGTGGATGGACCTAAGGTTTCAGGTGAAGGAAATTGTTGGATGCTGCAGTGATATCACTGAGGTTTCGGCCGTCGATGGCAAGAGGTTCCGGAAGATTACATACATTTTGACGACCGACGAGGTTGGAGAGGTTACGCCACCGAGGTGGTCGGAATACGAGGGCCTAGAATGGATGCAGCTTGACCATTTCGATGGTAGGCGCGTGTTAGGTTGACAAGTGACGGGAAAGAGGCTGTCGGGAAAGCTATCGGATTCGCTGATGTACAAACTAGAACCGGGCCAATGAGGGGCTGAATACATCATCTGCTTCAAGGGGGGGCATGATAGCAAGAAAACGATCGTAAGAGTGATCAGGAGGAGATGCGGACACAACAAATAATCAAACAATAAAAACTAACTTCTTGTTCCGATGTGACGATGCCCCAGGCTTTACGATGAATGGGAGCACCGGACCTCGATGTTCGGCTTGGGAAAATGTAAAACGACCCCCCTCCGAGTGTCGATTGGGGGCCAGACTAACCTAAAGTAGAAGCGCTCGGATAGGAACACCAAAACTCTGGCTTTTTCTTTAATTTAATTCGACTTTATAAGGAATTAATATAATTTAATACTTGTTTTATTTCTTATTGCGATAATTAAGCGCTATTTAAATATAAACTTTTTAAAAAGTTTGGATTAGTAATAACCGATATCCAAGGTCAACGCACAACCAGAGTCAATGCACGATCATTTTACACCAAAACTCCCGATTTTTGAACTTTAATAAATAAGGAACTAATAACCTAATTGACTTTAAAATTTCTATACTACTAGTATACTATTTTTCAAAGATAATTATGATATAAAAAATCAATATTTATATATAAGGCTTCTTTTATATTAAAGCTAAAAACTGAAAATTAGTAATATATAATATTTACAAAATAATAAATATAATTAATCTTATATTAATAATATATTATAAAAAATAGTTCTAATTAAAAGTTAAAGTAAAATATTAATATAATAATATAATTTATTTAAAGTTTTAAGAGTTTTCTTAAAATATTATTATTAATAAAAAAAATAGTATTATTTATTAAAAAATTTAATAAAAACTTTTAAATATATTATACTTTTAAATTATATAAAAAGAAATATTTACTTTAATAGATAAATAAATTATAAAATATATTTTATTTAAAAATAGTTAAATTAAATATATATAAAAGCATTTTTAATTATTTTTTCTTATAATATTATAATATTATATAAAATAAAGAATATATTAAATATAAATTAATATATAATAATATTTAAAAGCAAAAGATTATTATTTATATTATTAAATTATATAAGTATTTAATATAAGAATTATAACTATTTTAAGTAAGTTTTATATAAGAAAGCTTTTATTATATAATTTTTCTATTATTTCCTAATCTAAGCTTCTTTTAAGAATTTTTAATATTTTATTTAAAAATTAAATTTAAAAGTAATATATAATAATATATGCTTTTTATATTATATATTTATATTTCTATATATAATAAAGTACTCTTATTAATATTAACGTTAAAAGACTTATATAAATATAATTATTAAATATTAAATAAAATTTATTAATATTTTAATAAAAGCTAAATTTAAGGTTATTAAAAATTAAGAATCAATTAAAAAAAGTTATATATTAAGTCTTTGGCTTCTTTTCTTTATAGAGCTTAAAGAAGTTTATTATTCTAATTAGTAATTATTTAATAATTAAGTATTTAATATCGAGTACTCGGCTAAACTTGAGCGTGTATTAATCTTGGGCGTGTATTTACCTTGGATCTCGGTTAGATCTTTAAATTAAAGAAATTAAAAATTTCGTATTATATAACCTAAAGGCAAGCCTAAAAAAGCCTAGAAGTTTAGCGAATAAGTCCCTAAAACCAGATATAAGAGCCCTATAAACCTATATTTTATAGGGCCTTATAAGGCTTAAAAACTAGAACTTAATTAATTAGTATATAAACTTCTTTAAATTAAATTTTCATTTTAAGAACTCTTTTTATTATAAGTTAAGAAGCACGTTATTATAATACTAGGGTTATAATATACTAGCTTATACTTATATTCTCGTATAAATACGAATACTAGAGAGTTTAACTTAGCTTACTTAATAGCTTCTTTTATTTAGCTAGATTCAGAGGCTCTCTTTAGAGCTTCTTTTAATCAGGCAACCATTCATGCAAATCACTGTTCCTTGCTCTCTGCGTATATATTAAAAAATATAACTTAAGATTTTTGAAGAGCTTAGATAGCCAATTACAAGTTTATTGATACCCCTCCCCCAATCGACACCCCTAATCGACACCCGGGGGGGGGAGGTCGTTTTACATTTTCCCTTCGGCTTCGCCTAAATTATTTGCACTCGCTTAACGTCTAAGATTGTGCTGAAGTCGCCAAAATGCAAGTTCTCGCCCCCTGTGCTTTTATGGCCTCTGCCGCTGTAATTTCGGTTTGAGCCGGAGGTGCGCCTGTTGTGTGTTAGCTGAAATACACTCTGCTCCTCTCGTCATTGGTTCTTGACCGACCTGAAACGCTCATGAAGAGACGCCAATACGTGAAATGCCTAGAATTCCGGCTCCTCCGGTCCATATCCTCAATTTATACCACCGAGCTTCTGGCCCACTGCATCTGATCGAGGGAATTACAAAATCGTTGACGGGGTTACATTTTTGCAAAGTCCTTCCTACAACCCCCTGATCAACGGGTCTCTCGGGTTCTAGGAGCTTCTTCCAGTTCCGCAACATGTGTATCGTACTGTTCTTTCTGCGCCCCCATCTCAAATCCCGGGTGATCCAATGTCTCCTAAATTCCTTCTTGCTGTTAAAAAGCAATGTTTTCCGGCGGGACTGTGTATGGTTGTAGCCTTCGTCTGAATAGAAACCAGGCGCCCAGAAGGGCAACAAGCCCAACAACTCCAAGAACAACCGCAAACCCAATGCCTGCCGAGTATCCCCGAATATGGCCCTAGTGTTCTTGTTGGACTCGTGGGCAAAGTATTCGACGTGGATGAGGTGGAACTTGAAGGTTATCGTTGTACCCGCCGGGTTAGGGAATATATATCCAATAATATGCACAGCCCAGGCAGTGTACGGTGGTAGGAAAGCAGAGCTTGTCGTTGTCTACGGGGCCTGATTCGGTGGTCCGGACTTGGGCTGAAGGTAGGTGATTACCTCAGCTCGAATTACGGTATTGCATTGACTGGGCAAGCCATGAGCATCTAATTGTGGAAAGGAGTAGGCACTGATCGCAGTTCGTTAGCTTTTCTCGGGAACAAGCATATGGAAGGTGCTGAGAACGAACGATGGACATACCCTATGGTTTTTGTTTCGGTGTTAGCAGCGATACTGAGTGCGGTGGTATAGGCCTTCGGTCAGTTCATAGTGTGCCCGCTCAGTTCAGTTTTGACAGTCGTCAGTATGCTCGAGTCCTGGCTCCACCACAGCGACACGTCTGGAGGCATGCCTACGGGTCCTCCACTGTAACCGAGGCTTACTTTGAATTGTAGGCAAATAATTTGGAAGCGCCTCTAGATGGTGGATTAGTGTTGTTTTCCGGGAAGAGGGGAGAGCATGCCGTTGGAGCTGGATAGGCCGTAGTCAGGGGAATGAAGGAAGTCGCTTTCCCCGAACCCGTGATGGGGCAAATGTTGACATTTCAAAAATCTGGAGAGTCGATCAAATGACGTCGAAGAGGTCTTTTGGTGAAATATGTAGATTGCGAGGGGATACTCGTTGAAGAGAGGTTCGAGGGCAAGCACATCACACGTCATTTTACCCCTACACGCGAAACCCCATCGCCGCATACTTAACAGAAGGCTTTATCGGGCGGTGGCTTTTCTGACACAGGCGGACTCAGGAATTCTTTTCATCCAATTTGCCGAAGTTCGGGTATCCATTGGAAAGATTGAAAGAAATCTGTGAGCTTAGGTAAGATCTGCTCAGAAGACAAAGGGGAACGAGAGCGGGCGAGAAAGAGAGTTCGACTGTGGCTGAAACCCTCTAGAGCGAACTCTGGGCGCTCGATGATAGGAGCACTCACAGCTGATCGTCCTCGGAATAGGCTGCACAGAGGAACAGCCGCGCAATTTGAGGCCGGCAGGAAGCTGCGAGCCACACTCGACAGAAATGGCGACTTAGCAAGGCTTCAATACAGACATCCGAGGAGACCGAGGAGGGAACTATCCCTCAGCTCAAATGCGAGACACCTCCACCAGCCATGACACAATCTGAGGATGCAACGGTGAAAATTCGACAAGATGTTGTTCGTGGAAGTTGCGACAAGGTTACGAGGAATCTAGAGGAAGTCTCAGACGACATTTCTTCACTTTCGCTTCTAATCTGGTTAGTTAGCATCGTCACTCTGCTCAGGCGCTACTCACCCTCCCCACCACCCTCTACTCAGGTTGCTCAGTCGCGTTCCTGCTCTCGCTTCTAGTAACCAATTGTACCCGCCATATAAAGTTATTAATTCTACACGACCATGTTTAGGAGGACTACCAGGCTCATGGCCTGGTATTTAAGGGGATCACTAACGTACGGGCCAAACTCATACGCGGCCCTAAGTGACAGCGAGCGGGTACAGGTTAGCACAAACATTCAAGAGGCCCCTAATAAACGCCACGCTAGAAGATGCTAGAAGTCCAGTAGCAATACTGGAGTACTATAAAGGTAAATGCTCCCCTTAATCCTTTATAACATAGGGGAAAGAAAATAATATTAACTTATATATTAAAGGCAAAGCCACTCTTATGGGTCTATCTAAACCAAAGCTTTCCAGATAACTATATGCCTTTTATAGCTTCTTTTTCTGCTGTACTATTTAAAGCCTGTACATTTCACAGTGCGTACGAGAAAGCCGTAATTTTCTTCATACCTTGCTAAATACCGATGTATTAGGAATGTGCCAAAGGGTGGCTCTATTATGTTTATATTATAATCGAGGTATTTCCTCTCTACTTAGGTACAAGTTCGCTCTCGAGTTCTCTGCGATTATTAGCGGTAGCTCCGAGGAAATTTGGGGGAACGAAAATCGAAAAGTTTATCCTAGCAAGCCAATTGCAACAGGCTCAAGTGCGGAGATATTCAAAAAGGAACTAGCCATCGTGCTAATTCTGGGAGTTCTAGGGTTTATTTCTACTAATACCAGGACCTCAATGGGCCAGGGGTACGGCGTTACGCGCCTTTGGCACGCGACGGCGTGCGGAGCGTATACGTATACCTTGAGTGTGCGTATACTGAGCGTGTGCGTATATTGAGGATATACTTTTTTAAGCGATTATAAGGAGCAAGAGAGGGACGTGCTTCTTACCCGCCTTTAGTATGCGTACCGGGGGCTAAAGAATAGCCGAAAAGAAAGCCTTACTTTACCATAAAAATTATAAAAATTAGCTTGCTAAGTACGGGAGAGGGGGGCTAGAAGGGAATCAAACTCCCAAATGCATAAGCACCCGTTCTAGGGTCTACCCAGAGAGGGTGCTTATGCATTCTAATCAGAGTTGGCCTCCTGTCATTTCCCCTTTGGGCGTATACCCATGTTTTAGGAATGCTACGCGAGCAAAACAGGGATGTTGCAGGGGTTGACAGGGGCACACTGTTTTTCTTTCCAAAATAGTTGCAATAACATGTACTAGAGCACAGCGGGGATGTGGTAGGACTTTTGGAAGCTACCTTGTATAGGAAATGTCAGGGACACGTAATTTATTCTTGGGTTGTAGCTTCACGACTCTTATTCCACCTAATTCTCGACTTGTTTATTATTTGCTCACGTGTCTAAGGTATTTTTGTTGTGCGGCATTGCACGTTCCATAGGAACGCGATGGATTGGTCAAAATAGGTATCACGTAGATCAGAGCTCCCCCTCGCCAGAACTTGTCCGGCCGTTTGAACGCCTGCTTCGTAGCCGCGACCATCTTAGGGGGGTTTCCGGAGTCGGAATAAATTGAGATGAGACAGGGGCATCGTGGTACCAACTAGGAAGGCGAGGCTGAGCTGTTGGCTCAACATCACTTCTCGATCAGCACTTCCCAACAGCAACATCACCACTTCCCTCAGACACAACAACGCTCAAACTTCTACATCTCGTTCACTCAAGCTTTTGTCTTTCTTTATATGGTCAATCATGTCTTATCCTAGGAAAATATCCTTCATCGAAGTGAATATTAAGCATCCGTGGCTATAAACCTCACCAGTCAGCCATTTCATGAATCATTCATCGCGGATGAAGTCTCTGTTCGTGGACTCACTTCTACACCGAGACTTGTTCTACCCAGCGGAAAAGTTGCTGCAATAGTTTCTATATGCTTCGGGAGATTTACAGATCATGCTGAAAAAAGGGTCGAAAATGGAGTCAAACGTCAGGGAAAGAGAGCAGCTCAAATTTCTTCAGCCAAGAACCGGAAGAATCCAATCAGGTAGGATTTTCAATAGAGATCGTGGATTTCTCGCTTGGATATGGTTGTTTTCTTTCAAAAACAGCTAGTCAATAGTTTGATGTGCGGAATGATTTTGTTTTGATCAGCTGCTAATATCACTGCCCACGACTTCATCGATGAAGGAGAAGACACCGAAGTGGTCCTTTCAAGGTGGTCCGACTTCGCTCCCACGTCATCATATCTTAGTCGCTAATCATACAGTACAAAATCCCTGATACAGCACATATCGCGCATCTGCCAGTGCAGCAAGGGTTTGGTTAAACCCTAGTCCGTGCAAGACATCTGTTTGGCCGCGGTTACCTGCTTACGCCGGGTTGGTTATCTCCACATATATTGGATGTATCTCCGCCACAAGAACTCTTGGACCCTCCGCAAATCCGCTCTTCAGATTAGAGACAGTGTCTCGCATTGCAGATTGGAGATCATGGCCCAATTGATCGTCGTAAATTCGACGTCAGTCCTTGCTGCGCTCGTAGTCGTCTACGGTGCAGCTCTTGCATTCTATCGCCTCAACCTACACCCTCTGGCAGAATTTCCAGGCCCCACTCTCAGCATCATTTCTTACTGGTATGAATTTTACTTTGAGGTTTTGAAAGCGCCTCAGGGATAATTCATTTTCGAGATCGAGCGACTTCATGATATTTCCGGTAAGCTGGGTTTCCTGTTTTCGAATGCTGATGGCTAATCTCCACACACACAGGACCTATCATCCGCATTAATCCAGACGAATTGCATATCAAAGATGCTGATTTCTTTAATATCCTTTACTCTAGCAGCGGTGGCGAGCAACGCAATAAATACGCCCGCCATCAGAATGCGAATGAGTCGCCTGGATCCGGTAACATCAAATCCCGACTGCGGCCAAGTATAAATTCTGACTCGTCATAGTTGCTTCCACCGGACCAGCCGATCTTCATCGGCTTAAACAGTCAGCTCTGAATCCGTTCTTTTCAAAAGCTTCAATTACACGCCTCGAACCACTCATCCAAGAGAAAGTTGAGCTACTATGCAATGGTCTAAGGAACCTTATGGAGAGGAAAGAGATTGTCTATGTTGGCGCCGCATACTACTCTTTGTCCTTAGATGTGATTTCTGATTACTCTTTTGGCACATCTTGGCACTGCCTTGATACGCCTGGTTTCGCGACCGAATGGGAGAAGACAATCATATCGGTACTCGAGTCAACTCCTCTCAGTAAACAGCTGCCTTGGATAAATTTGCTTATACAACGACTTCCAGCAGCCTGGAGGAAACGGCTCACTCCCGACATTGGAGTCCTCATTGCAACGAAACAGAAAATTGGAAAGCAAATTTCTCACATCAAGAATTCTCTTGCCCTTGTTGAGTCGACACCAGCGGAAGAAAGAATAGCGGGGTCTAAAGATACAATGTTCCACGCCATTTTAACCAGTTCTCTTCCACCACTCGAAAAGGAACTTCGCCGTGTTATTGATGAAGCATTCGTTCTCCTCATATCCGGAACTGATACCACGGTTCATGCTCTAGCGATCGCCACATACCACCTACTCGCCAATCCCTCCATACTCTTCACATTGAAGGAAGAGCTAAAAGTAGCGATCCCCGACCCTTCATCTCCACCATCTTGGCGGGAGCTTGAACAACTCCCCTACTTGCGCGCCGTTATCAGCGAGACTCTTCGCATAGGAGCAGTGGCAACTATCCGCATCGCAACACAGGCACCGAGTACTCCAACCAATTACAAAGACTGGATAATTCCAGCCGGGACTCCGGTTGCTATGAATACGCGCTCCATTCTTCACGATCGTCAAATATTTCCCGAACCAGAGAAGTTTCAGCCAGAGCGGTAGATACGTGCTGCTGCCTAAGGGTCAGGCTCGGCAAAAATACCTGAGGCATCGATACCGGTATCGATAGTATTAGGTATTTTCAGGTATCGTAAGAATCGATACGTATTAATACCTTATTAATTCTTACCCCTAAAAAATTATCTCTTTATTTTGTTATTTTATTTATATAAGAATATATTCATATATAATTCCTTTCATTTCTAGTCTTTCTATTAAAATTTTTATTTACTATTATTAATAAAATTTAATAATATCTTAAATTTAAAATACCTCTCGTATTCGGAGAATTAAGCCCCGTATTCGTATTTCTTATCAAGGCACTAAATATATAAGCGAGCCTTACGAAAATCTCAAAAGCTCATTTTTATTTAAAATAGCCGTATTGAGATTAGTTTTAGCCTAAAGTATAAGATAAGTAGCTAGATAGAAAGCCTAAATTAAGGAGAATATTTGCGCTACCAAAAGTTTTCTTATAAGAGAAGTAGTTCGAAAGTTAATTGTAATTGAAGGGGAAAATTAGGTTCAGGGAATCGATACTACTATCGATACTATCAATACCTTACGATTCTGGCATTAATACGTATTGATACCGGAAATTTAGGTATTTTTGCCGAGCCTGCGAAGGGTGGAGACTGGATAAGTATTTGGTAGCATTTTCAAAGGGTTCAAGAGCTTGTCTGGGATTGAATTTGGCATATGCAGAGATGTATTTGGCGCTGGCGAATGTGATGAGGAGGTTTGAGATGGTGCTTGATGATGTAGTTAGGGAAAGGGATGTTGATATTGTGAGGGATTGTATCATTGGGCTCCCTTCCAAGGGGAGTAAGGGTGTAACGGTTAGGATTCTAAGGGAGAATTGACGTAGTTTAAAGACGAGTGGCAAGTGTTCACTGAGCGGCCGAGCACATTGTTCATTTCGGTCCTCCGAAGCATTTATTTAATGATGGTTTTGCAGAGTGATTACCACTGTATGCGCTAACAAAGCCTGTTCCAGGCGCAAACTGTACCCGCAATTGTTTCCCCCATTCATCATCTGCTCTTCAAACACCTCGGTTTGCCAGTGCCGCCTTTAACTTCTTCTGAAACGAATATACATGCGTCGGACTTATCATAGTATAATGTGCACCATCAACCTCATGCAGCCTCGGCTTCGTCTTCGAAAAATCCGCCCACTTCGCGAGGTGATTTGTCTTCCAGTCCTCAATATCCTTTGCGACGGCGGCTAGAGGAGTAGCACAGAATATGTCGATGCTTTCGACCATGCCACTGGGCTCGTAGTCCGTTGCAGAGCTTTGCAGAGAGTATGCGAGGTCCGCCCAGTTGGTGAGCTTGTCTTTGTCGAGGCCCAGCTCCTCCATGCGGTCCTTGGAGACACTAGGGTCAGCTCGCGCTCTGGGGGAATACCCAGTATGGGGTAAATTGTGAAGGGCCTTCGAGATCATACCTTTGGAGCAACGCTCACGACATGATTGAGCACTTCCTCGCGAGGGAGCAGGTTCAATTTAGGATGTATCATGTGTGCATATTCCTCAGAGAAGAAGTCGAGGAAGTAGGAGAGATGAAGCAGGCAGTTCGTCCTGTGAGGAAGCTGTTAGCCCCGGTAAACCATTTTGGATGCGCATTCTCCCTCACATACCAGTCTAGCTGGCGCATACGGAACTTGATATGAGGTGGAAGATTGAACGCGCCGAGGAACTTGACCTCATCGCCATAACTATTGAGGAGCTTGGTGACCTCAAAAGCAATCATGGAGCCGTACGAATACCCTGCTATGGCATAAGGTCCTTGCGGCTGTATGCTTTTGATCTTCGTATGATAAGTTATCACTGCATCTTCGATATTGAGAAAATACTTCTCTCCCTGCTCGAAACCTCTGGCTCGCATTGCATAGACTGGCCGGTCATTCATGTGTGGGGCCAATGACAAGAAAACGAGTACTTCTCCTAGGCCTGGATGAATGAGCCAGAGAGGAGTTTTGCTTCCTTCACTCTGCAGCACAACCATTGGGTTGTATTCTCGCGGCTTCTGAAGAGTCTCGAGCGCTGTCGACAGGCTTCGAATTGTCGGGTTGGTCATGACGATGATTATTGGTACGTTTTCAATCTTCAGTTCAACTTGAAGTCGTTTCTTGACTTTAATAATATCAATAGAATTGACACCCATAGTAAATATATTGGTATTGACGCCAAGATCGTGCTGCGGGACCTGGTAAGACCATGAGTTAGCAATAATCTGTCCGGAAATGAGTTTGCTTCCTCCATGTTCATGCCATGCTTCAACTCCAGGTGGCAGTTATTCTAGGTCAAATATCAGTTTGCTTGAAGGAGATTCACCTCGAATATCTCTTGAAAGACCCCCAAAACTAGCTGTTCTGTATGGTTTGCTGGACCCTCATATTTGGCTCTACGATGCTGCACCATGACTTCTTCGTTGACCGTCTGGAAGGTTTGGAAATCTCCCTTCTCGAAAGAAGAGCGGATTTTGGGTCGAGATAGTTTCCCAAGCGTCGTCTTCTGTAGCTTCGTTGCGTTGAGTGGAATAACATAAGGTCGAACACCAGTCTGCAGCATTGCTGCTTTTGCAATGGCGTCGTTAGCTTCAACACGCTTCTCCACATCTTCTGGATTATAGGTGGGAAGGTAGATGACACATATATTCTCCGTCTGCGAGCCTTTGCGGCGGTAGGGAAAGACGACTGTGTAGCTAGGTACTGCACCGGGTATATCTTCTAGAACCATTTCGAGCTCTTGTGGGAGGTAGTTTATACCATTGATAATGACCGTATCTTTGGCTCTTCCAGTAAGATTCAATTGACCCAGAGAGTCAATGAACCCTCGATCTCCAGTTATGAACCAGTCGCCATTAAAAGAAGCCTGGGTAGCCTCAGGGTTGTTCAAATACTCTCGGAAAATGATAGGGCCGCTAACTTCCAAATTTCCCACAGCATTGTAACCGATCTCTTTCCCATTTTCATCTGTAATGCGCATCTTCATACCTGTGATTGCTGCGCCGACAGTTGCAAACTCGTTCTTACACTCAATATCACGTCGAGGACAATCCTTGCTGAAAACAGAACCGGCACATGTTTCCGTCATACCAAAACCGGGGCTTAGAACATTGTTTGGAGCACCCCGCTGGTGGAGAATCTCTGTCAATGCCACGCATGTCTCTACAACGTTTGCCTCGCCTCCAGTGGTGATGGTTTTGAGGCAAGACAAGTCCAAAGCAACGTTCAATGCTCCCGGCACCTCAGCTGCACGTCGGAGGGCGGCAAGGAAAAAGTTTGGAGCGAATGAGTATGCTACACGATGTTTGTAGATAAGGTCGAGGAACAGAAGCGGGCTGAGAACGAGGTCTGCTGCCTGGATGTGGACTTGTTCGGCTCCCACGTAGATTGCATACATGTGGGTTTCCGTCAATCCAGCTACGTGATCCACGCCGATCCAGTTCAAGAAAGGCCCACTCCCTGCAATATTATGGGCCTCTTCCTTGCCAGCAATCGATGTGAGAATATTTGCATGCGTCAATGAAACAGCTTTTGCGTTGCCAGTACTTCCAGAAGTAAGCATCAATACGGCAAGTTCATCTCCGGTCTTCAAGATCCCTGGTGAGGCAGTTACATTCTTGTGTCCGTTCGTGGAGCCATTTAGTTCTCCACGTTCAGTGTGCTGGAGACCACCATTCACAAGCTTGTCGATCGTACGGACCCTTAGAACATCCTGGCCGGAGAACTCGGGAAGCAGTTCTTCGCTAGTAAGGCATATGGGGTCGTTCATAATCGAGTTAAGGTGTAATATATGTTTTCGTCTCTGTTCCATGTTGTTGGTGAAAGGAGTAGAAAATGCAGGGACATGTCCTGCATAAATGACAGCCCAAAACCATTCGAGGTTGTCGATGTGGTTATTGAAATGGAGAAGAATGATATCTTGAGCACGAAGCCCTAACCCCTGGATGAATTTTGCATTTTCCTTCGCAAGTGCCAATAGACTTGGGTAAGTCACATATTTTCCTACCACTTCCAACCTTCCTGGGAGATAGAAATGGAGGCCATGCTCGGGGTATATTTTGGCGGCCTTTTCTAAAAGCTGGAGGAGATTGTTAACTTCCATGATGCTGTGAAGCTGGTGGAGGTTCCTCAGAAATGTTGATGGAAATGAATGATCTTTACTCTGTATTTTGAAATTATACTCGCAGCAGATCTCGAAATCGAATATTGCTAATACTATCGAAATTTAATTTAACTATTCGTTTTTGCTCCCTGCTCTATGCTTCGTTATCTTTCCTATTGTTGTCGTTCACCTCTCAACTACTCCCTTACCATTCGTTATCCCCTACGCCGGTCCGTTCGGACCTTCCACTCGTAGATACGCATACGTACGGCTCTCTGCTGGCCAGCCGAACGTAGTAGATACGTTGCTTTACTCCGTAAAAGAACGTAAGGCAAAGACTACGGCAATTGGGCAAACCAATCATTTGATAGGTCTCGGGTACTCAAGGTGCCCTCTGCTACAGAAAACAAGAACGCGGGCCGAACCAATCCACACAGGTACCCCAGACTTCTATCACGTACCACGGTACCATATTAGCCGGCCCGGGAGACTCCAAATGATTGCGCCGCACGCAGTGAGACGTCGTTATCTAAATCTTTGAATGATATGGTACCACATGATTGAGTGACTTCGATCGATTTACCACACAATATCCTTCTCACTGTACAGTATATCAAATAATTTAATTAATTATAATTATTGGCCGGTAATCAAATTAAATTAAGTCAGAATCGTAGTAATCAAATTATAATTAATTATTTAGTCATGTGGTATTGCACGTAATTGCGGAGATAGCAAAAGCGTTATGGCGTAAAATTAAGGGTTGAGCTAGCCTAGTTTGGACGCCATCTTACCGCAATAGGCTTAGCTGCAGCTATGCCCGATTGGTAAGCAAGCCCAAAGGCGCTAGAACCCCTCGACTTTTCAGTAATTTCTTGCTACCTTATAAATAATAGAATTATAAATAATAGAATTATAAATAATAGAATTATAAATAATAGAATTATAAATAATAGAATTATAAATAATAGAATTATAATAATAGAATTATAAATAATAGAATTATAAATAATAGAATTTTATATGAATTATAAATAGAATTATAAATAATAGAATATAAAAATAGAATTATAAATAATAGAATTATAAATAATGATTATAAATAATAGATTATAAATAATAGAATTATAAATAATAGAATTATAAATAATAGAATTATAAATAATAGAATTATAAATAATAGAATTATAAATAATAGAATTATAAATAAGTAATCTTAAAAATTAATAATTTAAAATTAGAGAAATATTTCTAATTTAATACTTATTAAAGAATCTTCTAGTTTTTGGATATTTTATATATAAATAATTAATTCTTCTCGATTTTATAGTAATTTCTTTTATTTTAAAATTATATATTAAATTAATTACTTATTTTATTTAAAAGATTTCTATTATAAAATAACTTAAAATTATAATTCTTATTTAGAAATATTATTTATTAAGCTTAATATCTTTTAAAATAAAGAGAATTTTGAGCTATATTTACTAAAATAATAATCTCTTTTATTTTTTCTCGTAAATTATTTGAAAACCCTTAATTTTCTTAAAAAGAACTCAAAGAACCTAATTAATTATTAAATAATTACTATTAAATACTTATATTAAAAGTTCTGGAATTTATAGCTCTTTTAGTTCCTAAATCCGGCTTAAGAAAGAAGTTATATATAAATATAATTAATTTATATAAATAAGTTCTAGTATATATATATTAGATATTTATATATATTTAGTAAAATAGGAGTTTTTAACTAATTATACTATTTATATTTATTTATCTTTTATATTTCTTATTTTATATCTTTTAATAATTTATTTAAAAGTTATAAATGAGTTATATTAATTAGAATTAAAATAATTGAAGCTAATATAATATTAGTAAAGAATTAATATTATTATAAATAAATTAAAATTAAATTTTAATTTTAAATTTTTTTTTTAAAAAACTTACTTTATTTTAAATTCTATTATAAATAATTTAACTAAATTAAATTAAATATTTATTATAAGTTCCTTTAATAAAGCCTTTAGTAATATTAAAAAAGCCTTTATTATAATTTATTTTAAGAGATTTTTTAATAAGCTTTTAAAAGCTTTTTAATTATTTAAATTAATAAGTTATTAAAAATCTATTTTATATATTATTAAATTAATTTCTTAATAATAAAATATGGCCTTTATATTCTTAAATTCTTATAAATAAACTTATTTTAAGATTTAATAAAAATAGTAATCTTATAAAAGAAAGATTATTAGAAAATATTTTATTTACTATTACTCGAAATAATACTAGTTTAAATAATATTTTATTATAAGCTTTTATAAAGTATTAAATTTCAAGAAATTATTTCTTATATAACCTATATATTAAAATTAATAATTTAAGATATTTTAAAGGCTTTTATTAAAAATAATTATAATATTTTTTATTTTATGAATTTATATAAATAAGAAATAAATAAAGATTTTTAATTAAATATTAATTAAAACTAATTATTTATAAATTAAAAAATAAAATAATTTTTAATTTATTATATATTAAAAGATTTTATATATATAAAGCTATTAGAATAGTTATTAAAAAATTAAAAATTAAAGTTTTTAAAAATAAAAGTTTAATATTAATTAATATTAAAATTGCTTATTATGGGAGGGAAACTATAATAAGACAAAAACCCATATAAAGTATACCAGAGCGCAAAACGTGACTTAATAGCAAAATAACAAATCAAAAGCATAAATAGTAAAGCATAAATAGTATATAGTATGCAAAAGCTTAATTAATTAAATATATATAAAGGATTATTCTCTAAGTCTACAGAAAAACCAGCTTTCTTATGTGATTTCTGCAAGTTACATATAAAAGGCCGCGGCCTTTGCCATGTGACCTAAACCTCAAAACCGCCAAAATAATATGATTTTTGACAGGTATGGCCTGCCGTACCACATTATTCAAATAATATTTTAAATATAATTTCAATATTTATTATAGCTATTATTAAATTATAAGTCAAGAATTACCTTATTATATATTATATATAAAATATATAATAAATTCGAAAATTTTAAAACTAATTTTAAAACAAGTTTTTTTTAAATCTTTTTATATTAATAATATACTAATTTAAAATAAAATAGAACCTTTAAAAATACTATTAATAAGAAAGTAATTAAATTGCGAAAATATTATTTTAAATAGGTTTTTTAGATAATAAAAATAAAGCTTTATATTTAGCTTTTATTTTTAATTCTTAAATTAAAGAAATAAAACTAGCTATAATTAGCTTAAATTCTAATATAATATATAATATATATAATAAACTTAAAACGAGTTATAATATACTAGTATATATCTTTATTTAAATTTTTAATTAATTAATTACTAATTTTCTTATAAATATAAACGAGATTATTTTATAATTAATTCTTAAAAATCTAATTCTAATATATTTATAAATAATTTAAATAAGAATAAACTTAATATTTATATAAATAATTTAGATAAAAATAAACTTAGTATTTATTTAAATAATTAAAAGAATAAAATAAAAAACGAATTAATAATATATTTAAAGAAAAAAAGAATAAATAAAAAAATTTATAAAATTTATATACTTTATTTTAAATTCTATTAAGAACTATTATTTCTTTTATTATAATTTTTTTATATATAAATACTAATTTAGTTCTAGATTTAATTACTTAATTATTAAAAAGCTAATTAAATTAAGTTTTTTATATTATTTCTTATAGTAAAAAAGTATTTGAAAATACTTGCTTTATTTATTACTAGTAAGTATTTCTTCTTATAAGGGGCTTTTATTAATACTAAACTATATAATTAATTTAATAAAAGTATTTTTAAGAAAATTATATACCTTAAAATCTAGAGGGTTTTTATAAATAAGAAAAAAGAAATAAAAAAGAATTTCGAGCTAAAGAATTAGTTTTTCTTTCTTAAAAAGCTTAGTTTTATAATATTATATATATTTTAATAATCTAGTTAATATTTTATTTAATAGCCTTATATTTATTTAAAGAAAATAAAAAGAATTTATTATTTATACAACTTTTATAAAATAATTAGAAATATTTAATTATATATAATAAATTACCTTAATTATTTTTTTAATATACTATTTTTATATTAGCTTTATAATAGAAACAAATATTTATATTTCGGGTTTAATTTTACTAAATATAATATAACTTATAATAGAACCTTAACTAGCTTTCTTAAAAATAAGTACTATAAGTAATATATATTTTTTCTTTATTTTTACTAATTCTAATATATACTAAATTCGAGTTTAGGCTAGTATATTAAATAATTTAATTAATTATAATTATTATCTTATAATTAAATTAAATTAAATTAGAATTATAGTAATTAAATTAGAATTAATTATTTAATTATATAGTATTATATGAGATTATAAAAGTAATACATGTATTATAATATAAAAATAAAGTTTATTCTAGCCTAATTTAAATATTACCTTATTATTATAGGCTTAATAGTTAATATATTACTTTTATTTGCTTTGCTTATTATTATAAATTAATATTATAATAAGAGTTTAGGCTCTTTTAGTTATATAATATAGTTATATAACATTTAAAGTAAATAGTTCGCATATATTTATTATCTTGCTCTCCGTTTCTCTTTTTAGGAAATTAATTCTCCTTTATTTCTTTATACTTTAATTATATATTATTTAAAGAAAAATAAGAAAACTTATTATTTATATAACTTTTATATAATAAATAGAAATAATTAAATATATTTAATTATAATTAGTCTAATAATTAAGTTCTCGTTTAGAAGTCGATAATCAAATTATAATTAATTAGAAGTTTAATTTAATTGAATGTAATTAATTACCTTAATTAATTTTTTGACACACTGGTTTAGGCTATAAGCGAGAATTTAGTCCGGAATGGCAAGCTTGTGAAACCTATCATTTTATGGAATCGCACCGCTAGTCTTGCCAATACGCACAGTTCTCAAATCGGCCACTCTGTTGTTGCCGAGGCGATCAGTGATGCTGTGTCCAAGTCGGATATGGTGTGGTCTTGCTTTGCTGATGAGCCAGCGGTAATGGGGATTTTCGATACAATTCTCCAGGGCGATATCAAAGGGAAGCTGTTCGTAGAATGTTCTACCAACAGCCCAGAATCTACCAATGAACTGGCTCAAAGAGTTATTGAAGCCGGGGGAGAGTTTGTCGCTATGCCCGGTAATACAAATTCTCTCTATATATAACCTGAGGTTAGGGGTTGCTAACGATCCATGCGGATATTCAGTCTTCGGAGAACCTGGGATGGCAAAGCGTGCCACGGTAACCTGAATCCCCGCAGGAGCTGCGGAATCTGTACAAAGAGTAGTGCCTTACCTAGTAGGAGTGTAAGTTCACCAAATCGCATCATCTGCATCGACTCTAGAAAGTCTATATACTGACGAAGTTTTCAGCATCGGCAGATCAGTTGTTGACTTGAGCGACCAACCACCAGGAACGGCATCCCATGCAAAATTGGTGGGAACAGTAATGGTCATTCAAATGATTGAGAGTGTCTCAGAAGCCCACGTGCTTGCTGGGAAGACCGAGCTACCGGCAGAAAGTCTCCACAAGGTTATCAATTCTGTCTTCGGCGGCTCCTTCAGCGTCTACTCCGATAGTATGACGTCGGGGAGTTATTACCGAGAAGTAGGGTACACATTTGTTTTGGTCTAATGAGGAAATTGCTGACTTGTATAGCCTGTGATAATTATTAGAACTGCAACAACAGTCACGGATCATGTTATGTCGATTGCTAAACAATCTGGGACGAAACTGGGCGCCTTCGAGGTGGCATCTAGGCACATGGAGATGGTAGAGAATTATGCAGGAGCTAAAGGAGATATTGCTGGCATTTATGGAGATGTTCGGGTTGAGAGTGGATTGAAGTTTGAGAATTAATGTATAAACAGTTAATACCGTCCAGGCTAAGCCTCATGATGAACACGAAATGCGCGGTTTATTAGCGAAGGTGTCCCGGACAGTGTGTCAAATGATTAGGTTTGATTTGATTAGACCCCCCTACTCAAATCAAATCAAGTTAAAATCAAGCTAATGAAATCATACTTAATTATAATCAAAGATAATCAAAGATAATTAATTAGATTTATCACGTGACTACGCACATGACTCTGGAGCTTCGGAAGCCGAGATAAGGCTAAAATAAGGTCTAGGCTAGCCGTATTCGGTATTACTAAAGGCGCTCTTTACTAAACCAGGCCTAGCGCTAATTAGTAAGCGAAGCCAAAGGTGCTAGAACCTTCTTAATTTCCAGTAATTTCTTGCTACTAATAAAAGAGCTATAAATAAATCCTTATAGTAATTAGGGAAGAAGAAATAAGAAAAGAAGAAAATAAGAAGGGAAAAGAGAAAGAGATTTCTAAAGAAGAAAACTATTAAGATAAGGTAATATTATAGTACTAGTAAAGAGCTTAAATTGAGCTAAAGACTATTTGCCAAGCTAAGGAAGTACTAGCCATATACTAAGTCACGTGTAATAGTATTATATAACTAGTACTATATAATAAAAACTAGTTTATTATTTTATATTTAGACTAATTTTATATTCTTTTATATACTTTATAGATTTTATTTATATTTTATTAATATAATTATTAGTTATTTAATAATCTTTAAAAATGCCTAAGAAAATATACTTTTATATTATTATATAATAATTAAATTTAATATAATTAATTATAATAAAAATCAAACTAATTAAATTATACTTAATTCTAATTAATTAGCCTTAATTATTTTTTGATATACTAACTCCCGGATAAAGAATAAAGAACGGAAATAAGAGAATATAAAGCTATTTGAGGCAATATTATTACTATATATCTCTCTCCTATTTAGCTAGCATTTTACTCCTTTTTACTACTATAGTTTGGGTATTAATACCGGTATAATTCTGCCTTTTCTAGGGTCTATATAAGTCTACTAAGCCTCTACTACCTATAATATAACTCCTGCTTAATATAATACCATATAGTATAGGAGAGAAACTATAATAAGATTAAAATCCATATAAAGTATACCAGAGTATAAAATATAACTTAATAGCAAAATAATAAATTAAAAGTATAAATAGTAAAGTATAAATAGTATATAGTATATAAGAGCTTAATTAATTAAATACTTATAAAGAATTCTTCTCTAAGTCTATAAAAAAACTAGCTTTTTTATATAATTTCCGTAAGTTATATATAAAAGGCCATAGCCTTTATTATATAACCTAAACCTTAAAACCGCTAAAATAATATAATTTTCGACGAGTATAGCCTGCTATATTATATCCAATCTCCTATTTATTCGTACTTATTCTCTAAATACCAAAAATAATAGAAAAATTCTACTTAGAGTCTGAAATAATAAAATATTTAGGATCCTCCTTTATTAATTAATCTAATTTCTCTTTTATATATCTAAAATAAGACTTATTACCTTTAAATAGTCTTATTTTATATTCCCGAACTTGCTTAAAAGTAATCCGAACCTACTTAGCTATATTTTTATACTAAATCCAATATAGTTCTTTATATTAATTAGTATTTGCCTTTAATTATTACTTAATTTTTACCTTTACTATAAGATATTAAAGAGGCTTATTATAGCAAATTATATTATAAATTATATTAATATACTCTAAATAAATAGCTTTTTCGAATTTCGTATTATTTATAGTATTCTTAAATTAATCTTTAATAAGAGAAAAAAGCTCTAGATAAGAGGCTTTAATAATCTTATAAGAAAATTCATTTTCGTATATTTTATTCTTAATAGTAACTAGACTTATAGGAATTATAGTAAAAGGCCTATTAAATAGTAAATTATTATTAAGCTATCCTTTAATTTATATATTATTCGAGAATTAATACTTTCCTATAATTTCAGACTTATAGATTACCTAGCTAAAAGTATTTATTTATCTAGTTAAATAAATTATATTTAAAGTCTTTTCTCTTATTATCTTTAGTAAATACTTATCTATTTCCTTAGCTACTTCCGGCTCAAATTTATTAGAAATAGAGAAATAATTAATATTTTTAAAAAACTTCTTATTAAAGATAGTAGCCTTCTTATAATCTATAAGAAAAATATAGCTAATATTCTAATACTTTTTACTAAGGTAGAATTCGCTACTTAAAGCTTTAGTAATAGCCAGATTTTTAGTATTACCTTTATACTAATTATAATTAATATTTCTAGGAATAAAGTATTAGGCTAGCTAAGGATAAGTAATTAAGTAAATAAGATACTTACTTAATACCTTATAAAATCCGAGCCATATTAATAGATTTACTATTAAAAGTTAAGAGACTAAGATAAAGTAGCTATTACTAAGATCTCTATATATTAATATATTATCTTTTTAGAAATAAAACTATAGTATCTCTATCTCTTTTATTAAGAGCTCTCAAATACTAAGCTTCTTAATTCATTTTAAGTAATTCTTCTTATAAATATGGCTATTAGTATCCAGATTAGTAATACCAGACTCAGGAATAGAAACTATAATATTGAATTAGAGCTATAGATTAGGGCAAAATTAATTAGAAATATAGTACTTATATCTATACTTCTCAATTTCCTAATTCTTAAAAAAGAAATCTCGTATTTCCTTATTTACTCAAATAATAGAAATATACTTCTTGCCTTTAGTAACTTTATAGATCTTAGTAACTAGCTTTAGAGTATTTTTAATCTCTTATATATTAATAGAAAAAGTATTAGCAAATTACTAAATATATATTATATAGGAAGCTTTGAGAAATCTATTATTAACCCTATAGTATTCTCACTTATAGATAGGTCCTATAATACTATTATATACTTTCTTAAAAATATACTCATTCTATTAAGTAAATATTAACTTCTATTTAGCTAGTATTTTATAAATATACTAGATGCCTTTATTAAGTTCTCCGGACTTAATATTCTTAGTTTTCTACTTCTTAGTTCTAAGTATAATTATAGAAGTTTTCTTAAATAATATCTTTCTCTTTAAAGTAAAGGGTTTCTTCTCGCTTTCTTCTAGTTTACTAACCTTATACTTAGTCTAGTACTTAGATCTCTGCTATTTATTAGGAATCTTAGGCTTAGCTTATTCTTTATTCTTACTAGGTTCTTCTTATCTAATTATACTAGTTCCGCTAGCTTTACTAGTAGTTTTCTTACTAGGCTCTACCAAATTAGCTCTATTTTTCTTAGCTAAATCCGGTTAAATTAAAGCTAAAATTATAATAGGAGCCTATTTTTCAGGCTTATCTCGGAATACAGGAAAAGGCTCGTTATTATAAACTCCCTTAATTAGAATTCCGGAAGTATTAAAGATATACTATCTAGCCTTAAGATTATTAGCTAATAATAGCTTAAACTCTAATTCTTTATATTCCGAAATAGCTTTAGTATACTTAAGTACCTTAGTAATATCTAATTTAGTAAATATACTAGTATTCTAATACTTCTTATTCTTAATATATTCTAAAGTAGCTTTATTAATTAACTAAATAGCTTTATATACTAAAGCTTTTATTTTAAAGAAAAAGTATAACTTTTTATAAATATTCTTACTAAGATTATTATAGATATTATTAATATATTAGCCAAAAGCTTTATTATATAGTATAATTCTATTCTAACCCTTAATATTAAGACTATTTATTATAGCCTTAATCTTATTAAGCTTCTCTTATTTACCTTTAGAAATATCTTTAATAATATTCTCGAATTCCCTATTATTAGCTTAGTAGTTCTTTAGCTCTTTCTTAGTTAATCCCAGTCTAGTTCCGTTTCTAATAAAGGTTTTCTATTTTAAGAGCTTATTATATATACCGCTTAGCTTATCTAGAATATTTATATTAAATTTAGTAATTATAGCTATCTTTTCTAGTATTAGTAAGCCTTCTATAACTGCCCAAGCTTCTTTAATACTCTGAACTTTAATATAATTAATCTATAGGCTTTTAATAATACTATGGCTTATAAGAACTAATTACTATACTTTACTAACTTAAGAAATCTATTCTTTAGCTATTTTATTATTTTTAATAAGTTATGAAAATATTATTAATATAATAATTATAGGTTATAAAATTAAAGGTTTTCGAGATTATAAGGATTTCTTTTAAGTATATTTTAAAATAAAGAATAAATTAAAATAGTCTTAAATTATATAAATATATTATATATATTCGAGTTTTTCTTTCTTTCTAGTAAAAAAACAAAGCTAAAATAGTAATATATATAATAGAGAAAATAAATATAATAATTAGGTATATTTAAGGTAATATAATTATAAATTAGAAATAATTATAGAAAGTAAAATATAGAATTAGGCTTCTATTATAGAAAAGAATACAAATATATATATCTAAGGAAATATAATTAAGGAAATAATTAAGGCAAGTTAAACTAAATAGTAATAATAAAGAAATAAGAAGGTAATATAATAGAAATATAAATATAGTAATAATATCTAAAGTATTAAAATATAGAAGAAAATAACGAAAATTTCATAATATAGATATGCCCTAATTCTCTATTTATTTAGAAATATCTCTATTAACTCAAAAAATAATATAGGAAATATATAAAAAATAAGATATATAAAAAATAAGATATATAAATATACTAAAGATATTAGGAAAAATATAAAATAAGTATTAATAAAAAAGAAATTAGAATAATAGGATTAAGAAATAACTTAAAATAAGATATTATTTTTCCGAAACTAATTCGTATTTCTTCCGAAAGCTAATTATATTTATTTAGTACTTATTAGAATTAACTTTAAATAATATAAAACTATTTAATTATTTAGGACTTTAAAGTAATATTTATATTAATAAAGGTAATATTAAAAGTATTAGAATATATAAAAAAGAGAACTATAAGAT